GGAATGCAGATTTAACCTTCAATTCCTACATCACAGATCTTGGTTCTGATACCCTCACCTAGAGTCTCCCTTCGTTTCCCTGGCAGAACCCCACTGCTGTCCCGTTTCTGTCCTGTGTCTCTGGTAGTCCCCATGAATGGCTGCTGAGTGATCATTCATTCATTCATTCTTTCATTCCGTATTCATCCATCCATCCACCCACTCACCATCCAAGCGGTGGCAGGTCAGAATGGAGGGTTGGACAGACAGCCACCTTTTGTCACATCATTTCTGTGTCCTTCACAGCTCTCTTTGTGCCTGTGGTACTACTCATGGCCATGTCTGTATAGACCTCTGAGAAAAACTCTGTACATTCCCCTCCCTCCAAAACCTAACCTGCCTTTCCATTGCCATTTCCACTTCCTTTGCCATAACCTTCCCATTCCTAGATTCTCAGGGGCTCAGTTTTTCCCGTCTGGGCTCCCGCCTCCCCCAGTGCCCCACCCTACCATTCTTCTGCCAGGCCAGATCCTGGCATGACGACGTACTAACAGTGAACCTGTCAGTTTTTAGGTTTGCTTTGTTTAGGTTTGTTTTCAGTACTGGGGATTGAACTCAGGCATCGAGTGAGCTGGACAAAGCCTGGACTGCTGAAGCCTGTCACCGGGTGATCCTAGGCAAGAATTGTCCCATTGAGACACACCCCCAGTCTTTTACTGTAGGGTTCTAGGCACTTCTCACTGGCTCCTTCTAGGAAGAGCTTTCTGCCTGAGTGATGCCCCCAGGCCCTTATGGAGCTCAAGGAAAACTCTCTGTGGCTTTTATTTTTGAGGAAGGAGCTCATCAAGTTACCCAGACTAGCTTTGAAGTGACATTATAACCCCAGGCTGGCCTTCAATTTTCAGTCCTCATGCTTAGCCTCTGGAGTAGCTGGGATTACAGGACTGTGCCCCTGGGCTTTGGCATTTTCGTCTCTTTCAAAAGCAATGCCAATTACCAAGCAGTGAGTGCCTGAGGTCTGTGGTGCCTTTTCCTCTCTCCTCAAACGTCAAAGGTTTGTGTCCAGCATGGAGACTTCCTTCCCAGAGGTAACACCAATGTAGCAAGAAGTCCTTAATCTCAGCAAGACCTTCTCTGGACCAGTCTCTGAGGAAGAAGATGCACAGTTACTTGCCCAAATTGAACAGGGTTCTGAGTCCACGTTCGGGTACCAGGGAGCCCCTCTTCTCTCTTCTGAGACTGTAGGCACTGCCTGGGCTATTCCCCCAAATAGACAGGAGCTATACTTTTTGAGCTGCTTGCTGTTCAAAAGCACCTGTAGCCTTGTAGTCTCTGGTGAGATTTTATGAGTCTGTCCTGATCACCACGAAGAGATAAGGCTGGAGCAGGAAACTAGAGACACAGGCGGAATGAAGAAAGTATTTAGGGCTTCAGCTTTTTTTAAGTGTGTGTGTTTGTGTGTGATTTGTACTCACGAGTGCTCATAGTCTGGAAGTGTGTTGGATCCCTTGGAGCTGGAGTTTACAGGCTGTCGTGAGCTGTTCAACATGGGTGCTGGGAATTGAACTCAGGGCCTCTGTAGGAATAGAATGCACTCTTTTTTTTTGTTTGTTTCGTTTTGTTTTTCTAGACAGGGTTTCTCTGTATAAAAACTCTGGCTTGTCCTGGCCTTAAGCTCACCGAGATCTAACTGCTGCTGCCTCCTGAGTGCTGGGATTAAGGACATATGTCACCACCCAGCACTTCTTTTTTTCTTTTTTGGTATACTCTTTTTTAAAAAAAACTATTTATTTATTTATTTGTAATTTATGTACATTGATGTTTCACCTGCATGTATGTCTGTATGAGGGTGTCAGATTCCCTGGAACAGGAGTTACAGACAGCTGTGAGCTGCCATGGGGGTGTTGGGAATTGAATCGGGGTCCTCTGGAAGATCAACCAGTGCTCTTAAATACTGAGTCATCTCTCCAGTCTAAGAATATTTATATTCAGGATAAGTCTTGGTTGATTCAGCTACTTAAGAAGCTGAGGTAGGGACTGGAGAGATGGCTCAGAGGTTAGGAGCACTGACTGCTCTTCCAGGGGTCCTGAGTTCAATTCCCAGCAACCACATGGTGACTCACAACCATCTGTAATGAGATCTGGTGTCTTCTTCTGGCTTGCAGGCACACATGCAAACAGAACACTGTATACATAATAAATAAATAAATCTTTAAAAAAAATAGCAAAAGCTTGGCTGCATGGGTGACTGGGTGACTGGCTGGCTAAGAGCACTGGCTGCTTTTGCCGAGGACTGGAGATTGGTTGCCCTCTTCTGACCTCCTTGGGCATCAGACACTCACCGTGCACATACTTATAGACAAAACTCTCATATCCATAAAATAAAATAAATCTTAAAAAAGAAAAAAAAGAAGCTGAGGCAGAAGGATCACACATTCAAGGCCAAACTGGGAGAGTTTTAGATTTTAATACATTTCTATAATTTATTTCTGTGCATGCGGGTGCTTCTCTCTGTGTGTGTGTGAATGCACGTGTGGATGCCTGTCAGATCCTCTGGGGTTGGAGCTACAGGTGGTCGTGAGTCACCTGACATGGGTGCTGGGAAACAAACTCAGGTCCTTGGCAAGGGCAGTGGCAATCTGTATCATTGAAGCAACTTGTTTTTGAGTCAGGGTCTCCTAGAGGTGCTTCAAACTTGCCTGTGTAGCTAAGGCTAGCCTTAAATTTTTTTTTTTTTTTTTTTTTGGTTTTTCGAGACAGGGTTTCTCTGTATTGTTTTGGAGGCTGTCCTGGAACTCACTCTGTAGACAAGGCTGGCCTCGAACTCACAGAGATCCGCCTGCCTCTGCCTCCCGAGTGCTGGGATTAAAGGCGTGCACCACCAACGCCCGGCTTTTTTTTTTTTTTTAATGTATTTATTATATATACAGTGTTCTGCCTGCATGTACACCTGCAGGCCAGAAGAGGGCGCCAGATCTCGTTACAGATGGTTGTGAGCCACCATGTGGTTGCTGGGAACTGAACTCAGGACCTCTGGAAGAGCAGCCAGTGCTCTTAACCTCTGAGCCACCTCTCCAGCCCCTTAAATATTGACTCTCCTTTCTCCACCCCCAAGTGTAGGGAGCTTATGAGTATGGGTATGAGCCACAGAGCCCCATTGTGAGGCTTTCTTTTCTTTTTTCTTTTTCTTTTTTAAGACAAGGACTCTCTATGTAGCCTGGAACTCCATATAGTCCTGACTGCTGATTCTTTTTTTTTTTTTTTTTTTTTTTTTTTTTGATTTTATGAGACAGGGTTTCTCTGTATTGTTTTGGAGGTTGTCCTGGAACTCACTCTGTAGACCAGCCTGGTCTCAAACTCACAGAGATCCGCCTGCCTCTGCCTCCTGAGTGCTGGGATTAAAGGCGTGCGCCACCACCGCCTGGCTGCTGACTGCTGATTCTTCTGCCTTAGCCTCCCCAGCTTCCCAATTTCAGGGAAGTACAATATCCATCTTCAGTTTTTCTCTTTTTTTGGGTGGGGTATGATAAATGACGTTCCCATGAACATTCACGGAGCCCTCTTTTAGTCTTCTTGGCAGATTTCTAAGTCTGGACGCTTTTCCCAGGATGATGACAGGAATTTTGGACTTGGCTTCTAGGTCCTTGAGCCCATGCTATTTCCCATCCATGTCGGTAGAGTTGAAATTATGGCTTTGGTAAGACCTGTCGTGGATGTGCATGCGGATTATAAATGGGAACGACTGGCTTTCAGTTCCGAGGTTTCTGCTCTCTCTTCTCCCTCTCCTTTCTCTTTCCGCTTTCCACAGTGTCCTTCTTCCCTGTAGTGATTTGCTCATCCCCTTCTATTCGTCTGCGTGTTTATTTATAGCTCAGACTGGCCTCAAACTCAGTATGTGACAAGGATGACCCTGAACTCCATGTCCTCCTTTCTCTGCCTCCTAAGTTGTGGGGTGATAGGTACCCAGCACCATCTCTAGTTTCTATGAAGCTGGAGATGGGACTCAGGACCTACTGCACACAGGGCAAGCATTCTAGCACCTGAGTTCCATGCCCAACCTCCCTCTTTGAAAAATTTAAGCTCTGAGACAGATCTTGCTGTGCAGCCCAGGCTGGTCTTTAACACCGCCCTGCCTTGGCCTCTCAAGTCTTGGGATAGTAGGTGTGCACCACTTTGTCTGGCTTCTGGGCAGGAGGAAAAGCGAGGTTTAGATACGATCTTGTTCTGTAATATACATCTTTGCCTGGAACTCACTTTGTATACCAGACTGGGTCCAAATTCCTGGCAATCCTCCTGCCTCAGCCTTCTGAGATATTACGGAGTGAGTCATCACACCTCCTGTCATTTATTACGTTTTATTTTTTTTTCCCAGACAGGATCTCCTGCTGTTCAGGATGACCTCAAACTCCCTGTGTAGCCGAGGATAACCTCGAAAATTTGATCCTCTTGCTTTTATGGCCTCAGTATTGGGATTAGAGGCATGCACCACCATTGCCAGGGTATGCAATGTTGAGGACAGAACCCAAGGCTTCATTCTAGGCAAGCGCTCTACCCACTGCGCTCCATCCTCGGCCCTCATTTATACTTTTCTGTTGGGTAGAATATTGTGCCTGACTCGTGTGTCAAGCAATGACCAGGCAGGGACGTGGCGGGGTCTTCCTAGGAACTCTTTTGTTTGTCCCTGCCTGGGTCTCAGGGATGAAGGGCCTTCTTGGACATCCAGTGAGGGCTCCAGGCCCTGTCCTGGCTTCCCTCCAGTTAGGCCACTGGCTCTGTTGCTCTAGCAACAAACTACCCCGGCAGGTAGCGGCAGGGGAGGCCCCCTCCGGCGAGTTGGCCAAAAGCTGGGCCCCGATGTCAGACCCCACCCCTCAGCGCCTGCCCCACCGGCTATTTCCCAAGCCCCGCCTTCCCCCGGAACCGACAAATCAGAGAGGCAGACACATCGCGCGGCCGGGCTCGGAGCAGCCAATGGCGGCGTGCGTGAGATCCTGCGGCCACGCGGCGGCGGGCGGCGGGCGCTGAGGCGGCGACCGCGGCCAGTCGCTGCTGAGGCGGCCGTGGGTGCGCTTCTCGGCGGGGCCGGGCAGGGCCGACGCCTGGCGGTGAGGAAGCGCTCCCTGGGCGGGCGCCATGGCCACCAGTTAGGGCGGCGGGAGAAAAGGCCGAAGCCCAAGATGCCGGAGCGACGGCACGGCTGCGCCTCCGCTATCGTAGGTAAGCGGCGCCGCACTCCGGGCGCCGAGCCCCGGACGCCTCCATCCTTCATCCCGCCTGCCCCTTCCCCCATCGCCCCGGCCGGCGGGTGTCAGGTCGTGTCCCGCTCTTTTCGCCCGCCGCCGCCGCCGCGTCTGCCCAGCAGGCTTCCCGACTCTCCACTCACCGTTCCCGCCTCACCTGCGCACACTCACTCGCATCCCTAGCCCGATGGGGACCGTCATCCCGTTTTTTTGAGGACCCCTCCTCCTTTTTATGAGACATCTCATTTTGTAGCCCAGGCTGGCCCTGGACTCAGTGAGCACCCCTCCTTGGCTTCGCACTCGACACATGGCGCTGCCCACATTGTCTTTGAATTTATTGTGCAGTGTAGGCTGGCTTCAAACTTTGTAGCTCAGGCTGACCTCGGCATCACCATGTAGCCCAGGCTGGCCTCAAGCTCATCATGTAGATCAGGCTGATGGCAGTCTTCGTACCTCCACCTTCTGAGTCCTGAGGTGACAAGCATTGAGCCACCGCGAGCCCCCTTTCCACGTCAGTTGCCGGCTCTCCTTCATGGGGTAGTTCATACCCTTTTACTCTGAAACGCTTTATTCCTCTCCTCTGCTCAACTCTTCTGACTTTAGCCAACCTCCAGCTCTTGCCGTTTCTTCCTCTTGACCCTTCAGACCTTCCCCACGATCCCGATGCTAGTTCCTTTTTCTTTGTTTTGATTTTCATATGCATACCTGTTTTGTCTGCGTGTGTGTTTGTGTGTGCACCATGTGTGTGCTTAGTGCCTCAGGAGGCCAGAAGAGGGCGTTTGGGTGCCTGGGAGTTGGAGTTGCAGATGGTCGTGAGGCTCCATGTGGGACTGGGGATTGAACTCCCTTCCTCTGCAGGGGACAAGCACATGGCTCAGGGAGTTAAGGCTCTTGCTGCCAAACCTGACTACCCAAGAGTTAGATCCTCAGGGCCGGAAACATGGTAGGAGGAGACCTGGCTTCTTCAAGTTGGCCTTTGACCTCCACAGGAGCTGCCCAAGCCCTAATATAAATAAATGATGTAAAATAGTTCTAAAGATAAGTATCCTAATTTGTTCTTGGGTTGGCTGTACCCATAATGTGTAAAGTGCTCATTGATGGTCACTCACACAGTAGGTCTAGCACATGGAAGTAGTTCCAGCTTTGCTTAGAGTACTTGAAGATCTTTTGACTCCCTCCCCCTCCCCTCTCCTTCTCTCTCTCTCCTTCTCTCTCTCTCTCTGGATATGAAGCCCTCTTCTGGACTCTGGGGCACCTGCACTGACATGCATGTGCTCACACACATGCACAAAATTGAAAATAAAATAAATCTTTAAAAATACATATCAGAATCATTTCCTTTTTCCTTGCTTTGGGTCTGTCATGTCTCCTATTGTGACTTCAGGTCTTTTTCTCTCTTTACTGACAGTGTTGACTCAGGCATTCATTGTGCTCCAAAATGGATGTGATCTACCTTGTGGGTGCTGGGAATTGAACCTGGGTTGTCTGAAAGAACAGCAAGTGTTTTTGTTTGTTTTTTTGGTTTTTCAAGACAGGGTTTCACTGTGACTTTGGAGGCTGTCTTAGAACTAGCTCTTGTATACCAGGCTGGCCTCAAACTCACAGAGATCCGCCTGCCTCTGCCTCCCAAGTGCTGGGATTAAAGGCATGTGCCACCACCACCTGGCTGCAGCAAATGTTCTTAACCACTGAGCCATCTCTCCAGGTCTCCCAAACTGAAATTTTTAAAAGATTTTATTTTATGAATATGAATGCTCTGCATGGATGCCTGCATGCCAGAAGAGGGCACCAGATCTCATTACAGATGTTTGTGAGCCACCATGTGTGTGCTGGGAATTGAACTCAGGACCTCTGGAAGAGCAGTAAGTGCTCTTAACCTCTGAGCCATCTCTCCAGCCCCAAAGTGTATTTTTAAAAAAGTTTATTTAAGTCGGGCATTGGTGGTGCTGTAGGAATATTGCGATTACAGGCACACACTACTGTGTCTGACTTTATATGGGTTCTGGGGATGCGAGCTAAGGTCCCCATGCTTGTGTGCAAGCACTTTACCACTGACTCATTTCCCTAGCCATCACTCCCCCCACCCCTTTTTTTATGAGGTAGAATCTCACTTTTTTTATTTTTTCAAGACAGAGTTTCTCTGTATTGTTTTGGAGGCTGTCCTGGAACTCGCTCTGTAGACCAGGCTGGCCTCAAACTCACAGCAATCTACCTGCCTCTGCCTCCCCAGTGCTGGAATTAAAGGTGGGAGCCACCAACACCCAGCCTGAGTGTGTAGGTTTGTACACGTGAGTGTAATGCCTGTTAAGGCCAGAAGAGGTCGTCAGATCCCCTGGAGCTGGAGTTACAGGTGGCTGTGAGCCGCTGTATGTGCTGGTGGTTAACCTTGGTCCTCTCTGCAAGCACAGCAAGCGCTGAGCCTTCTCTCTAGCTTGGAGAATCCGTTTTGAAAAAAAGAGTCTTCTAATGCTGGTAGTGTTGTGGAAGATCAGTTAGACAGAGACAAGAGTGGCTTCAAGGACTCTAGGTGCAGATGGCGAGGCCAGTGAACCTGAGGGGGTAGATTTGAGGACAGAGAGTTTTGGAGACTTGGGTATCAAATTCAGGGTCTTCTGTGTGCTAAGCAAGCATGCTGCCCCTAGTCTGAGTTACATCACAAGTCCTAAGAGCACTTCTCCATTTCTGACTTTGGTAACTGTCCAAATGGTGTTTCAATTCATCCTGTTATGCTACAAAAGGAACCGGTTTTGAAGGGAAAAGATCGACCTAGTGCTGTATCTGCTTGACGAGAGTCGGCCTTCTTTCTTTCTTGCATAAGCAGTTCCTGGATATTTGTAAGCCTTTGGTGAACTTTCAGAGTCCTGAGAAAGCTGATTGCAACCATTTTGTCAGTATTCCTGTACTTCCATGAAGAGTCCCTACTCCACCATCCTGGCAATGTGTGTGTGTGTGTGTGTGTGTGTGTGTGTGTGTGTGTGTGTGTGTGTGTGTGTGTGTGTGTGTGGACACTCCTTTTGTGTATCAGCAGTGTACCAGAGTCGGTGCCTTAGTCCACATTTCCTGTTTGTACAGAACATCAGGCCAAGCAGCGCTGAGAGCCATTCTCATGGCATCTGGGGGCTTCTAAGCTCTGTGAAAGTGTCACTCCCTAAATCTCTAGTCTTGATTGCTCTGTTTGTGCTTGCCACTGCCTGAAGCAGTGGCATTAGGTCGTTGTCTCTGATTATTTTTAACAAATGCTTTGGGGATATGGCCATTCATATGAGGGAGCTCTGATTCCATTCAAACCAAGGCAAGTCCTAAGAATGGAGCTTTTCAGCATGCTCTGGACAGGGTAAGAGCGGCCGCTCTTTGAGGGCGCTGCTTCGTTTTGAGTTGCAGTTCTGGTCTGCCCCGGTCAGTAGCTGTTGGTATTCATGAGATGTTTGTGAGGATGTTGGTTTTAAGGTTTCTTCAGAGCTGGGGGAAGACAGTGAGGTAAGGTACAGAGCTACAGAGCTCATTGCTTGTCAGAGTCGGCTTCTTTCTTGTATAAACATTCCTCGGATTTTTGTAAGCCTGTGGTGAACTTTCAGAGTCCCGAGAAAGCTGGGCTTGACCATTTTGTCAGTGTTCCTTACTTCCATGAAGAGCAGACTTTAGAAGTCCCTTCTCCACCATGCTGGGAGTGCTTCCTCCTGCCTCTCCAAGGTTAGGGGATCTGAATCTGATGCCCTGTTATGGCCTCTAAGGGCACTGCACATACTTGGTGCACATGCACGCACACATACACACATATACACTGAAGAATTCTTTTTCAGAAAGGAAAAATTATACTGATTATAAAAACAGATAAGCCCGGATAGATGGCTCAGGGGTCATGTGCCCACGCTGCTTGTCTTAGTCACTGTTCTATTGCTGTGAAGAGACACTATGCCCAAGACAGCTCTTATAAAAGAAAGCATTTAAGTAGGGGCTTGTGTACAGTTCCAGAGGTTTGATACATTATATCATGGCAGGAAGATGGCAGCATGCAAGCAGCTGATAGAGTAATTGCTAGAAGCTACATCATGATCTGTAGGCAGAAATTTTGAAATTTCAAAGCCCATCCCCAATGGCATACTTCCTCCAACAAGGCCATACCCTAATCCTTTTAATCCTTTCACATAGTGCCTTTAGGGGCCATTCTTTTTTTTTTTTTTTGGTTTTACGGGACAGGGTTTCTCTGTATTGTTTTGGAGGCTGTCGGTCCAGCCCGGCCTTGAACTCATAGAGATCCGCCTGCCTCTGCCTCCCGAGTGCGGTGATTAAAGGCGTGCGCCGCCACCGCCCGGCTTTGGGGGCCATTCTTATTCAAACCACCACACTGCTCTTGCAGAGGACCTGGTTTGTTTTCTAGCACTCACATCAGGCAGGTCACAAACTGCCTGCAGCTTTTTTAAAATTAATTTTATTTATTCTTATTACATATAGTGTTGTGTTTGCATATGCACCTGCATGCCAAAAGGGGGCACCAGACCTCATCATAGATGATTGTGAGCCACCATGTGGATGCTGGGAATTGAACTCAGCAGCCAGTGCTCTTAACCTCTGAGCCCCTACCTGTAACTTTACATTTAAGCAATTTGATACTCTCTTCTGGCTTCTGAAAGCACTTGTGCATATGAGGTACGCATAAACTCATTCAGGAACATAAATGTGCATTAAAAAATCGTAGCTGGGTGTGGTGGTGCTGAGGCAGGTGGATCTCTGTGAGTTCAAGGCCAGCTAGGTCTATATAGGAGTTGTAGGTCAGCCATGGTTACATTGTAAAACCTTCAGAGATGCTTTAGGTTGGCACAGGCAGCACTGGGTGAGAGAGAAGGGGAGGCCAGAGCTGGTGGTGAGAGAATTTAAAGAGGCCAAGTGACAGATGAAGCCTGGGGTTGGATCCACTTTAGTTATGGATTGTTTTCCGAGAGGAACTGGCCACTGAAGGTTTTAAGCAGGGGGATGTTT